AAGAGTGAAACTCCGTCTCAAAAAAAAAAAAAAAAAAAAAAAAAAAAAAAAAAAAAAAAAAGAATTGGGTCTATGTCATATTATCCAAAAGGAATGCTGTTAAAAGCATTATTTACAGTAGTAACTGGGGATTCAATGTGTTCCTTACAATTTGCTGCTGAGCTGGAAGCTGTGAGGGAAGGAGTTGACACTTAGGCCCAGTGAACTTTTCCAGTAAATGAAGCAAGTGCTGAATAAAACCCTCCTGGACTGGAAACAAAGGTCCACGGGCAAGCAAGACACCCACACAACAGGCTTATCTTTTGTGAGGGAAAAAACTGATCTTCCCCCACCCTCGGATTCCAGTTTCTGCTCTACCTTGCCCCCAGATAACACACATTGTTTCTACTTGTAAAAAGTCTTTAAAATAAACGATTGCAGATACTTACGTTGTGGTGTTTGTTGCATTATGGACCATAAGAATCAGTCTTAAACAAGGACACCTTAAAAATCAAGTACAGTATCTGTTCTTAAACTTGGCTGCACAATAGAATTATCTGGGAAGTTTAAAAAGACACCAATGCCTGGGTGCCACTCCCGGGATTCTTATTTAAATGGCTGGATACAGCCTGGGCAGTGGGATTGTTGAAAGATCCCCAGATGATTCTTGTCTGCAGCCAGGTTTGATAACTACTGAAGAAAATAAGTTCTGAAGACCAAACCTTCTTATCCCATAGCTGTGAAGAATAAAACAAATACCAGCTGAGGCTAGGCATGGTGGCTCAAGCCTGTAATCTTAGCACTTTGGGAGGCTGAGGTGAGCAGATCACCTGAGATCAGGATTTCGAGATCAGCCTCACCAACATGGTGAAACCCTGTCTCTACTAAAATAAAATACAAAAATTAGCTGAATATGGTTGCCTATGCCCGTACTCCAAGCTACTCAAGAGGCTGAGGCAGAATAGCTTGAATCCAGGAGGCGGAGGTTGCAGTGAGCCAAAATCATGCCACTGCACTCCAGCCTGGGCGGCAGAGTAAGGCTCTGTCTTAAAAATAAATAAATAAATAAATGAATAAACCCAGCTGAACCACAACTCCAACTGAGCACAAGTTATATCCATTCTCTTTTACCATCTTTGCTGTACTCTAAGTAATCTTGAATATTAATAGTATTCTTTTCTGGCCTCCAGCTGAGTTAAAGAGAATGTTCTTGGTCTTTCTAGACTTTGAGCCCAGAGGAGCCAAAGAAATGTCTATTCTTAAGTATCTGAAACAAAAGGGAAGGCAGAGGCAGGAATTAACATTAATAAGGTCTAGCTCCTGTTCTCACTTTAACTTTCTTGCCTTCACTTCCTTTCCTATTCTCCCCTCACTCCTTCCAGCTGAACCTCACTGGTTTCCTTCCTGTTTATCAAACATGTCAGGTACATTCCAGCCTGCTTTTGTTCTTGCTGCTCTCTCTAAAACACAGATATCCCAAAGTACATGACTTGTCCCTTCATCTGCTTCAAATGCCAACTCAAGACTGTTCTACCTTCTCGCTTCACAGTAACATGACTCCATCTAACATATATGTTACGTGTGTGTTCACTGCTGAATTCCCAAGGACTCTTCCCTTATTCTTAACTATTACAAACCTGGCCCCCAAAGCTTCACACTCCCTGCCTTTGAAAGTTTTCTGAAGTCTAGAGAAATACACTTTCTTTTTCCTTCTGGCATTTTACTCCTATGCTCAGACAAGCCCAACTTTAAGCACCCAAGCCCACCAGTTTGGATCCTACCACTCATACAAGCTTTGGTTTTTTCACTCAAGTATACATGAGTATTTTGAAATCACTATGTTTATTGTCACAGGATCCTTGGGGTGTCGCTTCACCAGCTGGAATGCTCTGTGGCTGGCAGCCTGAAGTCCAGAGGGGGCTTAGGTGGCAGGGTGCTGGTGTCAGCACCACTCAGAGCTCATGCATACCCTGCCAGGTCCCAACAGCACCAGGCTTGGCCTCACCTTTGTTCCAGAATGGGTGCCAGCAGCAGAGAGAGGCCAGGCGGTGTAGACGGGTTCAGGGGTTTCCCTGGGCCCCCTAGAGTGCAGGGATGCCGGGTCTACAGCCACGGTTGGGCAGCTGTAGCCATGCCCATCTCCCGCCTATTCCCGGCTCCCCCCCAACTTCCCTCAGGCCACCACTGCTATCCACTGCCATCACTACAAGCTCAATATCCCATTAACAGGGTTAATATATTGAAGCAAGTGTGTCATCTCTTAAGACATGTTTTAAGATGCCAGTTTTCCACAGGGCAGCATAGCAGTTTTTCCATAAGTAACGAAGACGAATCTTTTTAGTCAGCAAAATGAAAAATGCTTTAAGTAAAAACTGATTTATACAGAACATCTATTGATCTTTATTTGATTTGACAAAATTTGCATTATTAAAAGACAGGTAACAAAATTTGAGCTTATACTGAATCTGACAAATTGAATTCTATAGTATCTAGAATATCATATAAGAAATATCAACTGAGAGAAAAGTACCACATGCAGATGCTCCTGGTAAGGGGGGAACTGTATCTGCAGGTGAGGTCCAGAGTGTGCAGTGCATAAGAAAATCCTAGAGAAAATGCCATTCACTTACTCGGGTGAAATGTTTTTCTTTTGAGGGGGAAGAAGAGGTGGTAAAGAGGGGCAAGAATTCAAAGGCGTATATGCAGAATGGCTTCTCCATTTCAAAACGGTAATAAAAATATTTAAATCATGGCACTAGGGCACCTTTGAGGAAAAGAACATCTTAACCAGAGTAGGCTCATTGCATAATTCTTTAGTAACATATACAATTTTCAAGTAGTTAAGCAGACGTAAAGGATAATTTCGTTTTAACAGTAGCTATCTATTTTTCTTCTCGCCCTCTGGAGCTTGATCTGCTTCAGAATCACAGGGACACTTTTCCACACATTTTCTAGGGAACCATCCCCTTATTCTTGAAACATCTGAGGGAGAAAATGAAATTGAGGTTAAATAGTCTGATGGATGACAGTAACATTACTGAAAGCAGTAAGTCCTATTGATTCAAATTAATAAGCTTTTAGACTTATATTTTCCCCTTCGCTATTATAAGCATATTTTGAAGGGGAGGGAGGGGGGAAATAAGGTTCCTAACAAGCTAGGAACAGATATTTCCCAAATTCTGTGATCCAGAATAGTGACAAATGTGGTTAAAGACAGCTCCTAACTTAAGTTGGGGGGAACTTAGTATGGGTGTTTACTTATATGTGTACGATCAGCGAGGGTGTTCTGGGCACACCATTATACTCCGTCTCTTCCAGGGAACTACCTCCTTGTAGCCTTGTAGCCTTTGTGAATTTCCTTTTTAGACTTTTCCTAACATACAAATTTTTTTTTTTTTTTTGAGATGGAATCTCACTCTGTCACCTAGGCTGGAGTGCAGTGGCATGATCTCAGCTCACTGCAACCTCTGCCTCCCAGCTTCAAACGATTCTCCTGTCTCAGCCTCTGGGGCACCTGGGATTACAGGCGCATACCACCATGCTCAGCTAATTTTTGTATTTTTAGTAGAGACAGGGTTTTACCATGTTGGCCAGGCTGGTCTTGAAC